TCACGTGCAAACACTTAACCTCTAGACCAATGAGCTGGCACCTTACGATGTTAATATCTAACTTCAATCAATTCATGATATTGCGCAAACATTCATTTATTGTCTAAAGTAGAATTTTGTCTCTATTCGACATGGATTGAACTCCACTGGTCATGGCTTCTCACTAGAACTCCAGGAAATCCATCTTCAGGCCTGTCACTAGTGAGCATATGTTGATTATGATCAGAATGGTAGTTTATAGAGATTGTAACAATTGAAGTGATTTCATCAAGTAAATAATTTTAAGAAATGAGTTGATGAAGAAGATTCGTATCTCAGATGGATGGTTTTGGTGGTATTTTATTCTCTAAGCTAGATGGTTTAATCATGAAGCATTGATTGTTCTTTTGAACGACATTATCTGTACAAACGTTTACGATCCAGATCAAAGAACAAAACATTAAAATCATTCACATGTACTACAAATCTTCTCTATATAAATAGTTTATTTAATAAAGCACAATCGATAACTAACTCATAGATCATTTAAATAACCTTATAGCACTTGAACCAATGATGAAGTGAACACTCTTAAGTCTTGAGCCATAGACCGCTCGGCCACTCAGACGTAATGATGGAGTAATTCTATTTAATCATACATAATTTATGTTATATTTTCAATTAAATGATTAAAACTATACCAAGTAAGTCACATAAAAAACGTTTTCAAATTTCAATATAAAAATATAAGCAAAGATGGATGGGGGTTAGGACGTGCGCAACTTCGTCCTATTTGGATGGACCTACATCCCAGAGTTGATGTTCATTCAAGAACTCGAACCCAGTACCGTTTGCTTCAGATGACATTACGTTATCCATTTAGCTACTGAGTTCAGATCGCCACTAGCTTGTGCAATGAGGTGAAGTTTAAATTCATTTGGTATTGTTTATTCGAAACTTCCCATTTATGTTTAGAACTGCAACTGATCGGTCGCTTGTTGGCATACGTGCATACTGTGCGTGTTCCTTCGATATTGCCGTAATTCACAAACATTCTAAGCAAAAATAGATAGTGGCTTGCAGTGGAATCCAGGAGGCGCGTTTCGTCCTATTTGGGACTCGTCAGTTGGATATGTCCGGATCCCGAAGCCAATGTTCACTCCGAAACTCAAACTCACAACTGTTCGCTTCAAACGTCATCACGTTATCCTTTTAGTTAACAATACCAAGTGAATTTAAACTTCACCCCATTGCACAAGCTAGTTACTATCTGGACTCATTAGCTAAGTGGATAACACAATGGCGTTTGAAGGGAACGGTACTGGGTGTCCTGGATTCCATTGTTAGCCACTATCCATCTTTGCTTATAAGCTTTGTGACTTCAGACAATATCGAGGTAATCTACACAAGATGCACCTATATCAATAAACAACTGATCAATGACATTCATAAACATCAATGGGAAAATTCATGTAAAGCAACACCAAGTTAATCAATTACTTGATTTACATTGAACTATTTGATCATCAATCCTTCATAAATCTTTCAAAACTAATCTGAATATACGATCAGATTAATATCAATAAACAAAATTTACTGTAATTGATACTGAAACGATAAAAACCGGGCTTCCGTTTACTCCCTACTGAGATAGTTTTCGATTAAAAAAAGAAGAATCCTCACGAGAATTAATCCACAATGAGTTTTCTTCTACTTTTCTTTTCTAATCTAGTTGATCATCTGTCTTTCTATATCAGTGCTTTAAACAAATATCTATATGATCAGATTGTTCAAAATGTGTTAATAATCTTCGTCTTTTTATTACATTATCAAAATTTATCAAATAGATCGTCATCCGGCAGTGTTAATGTCTAACCTCCATCAGTTTACCATGTGTCGAGATCATCTTCTATTGTATTCGATGAGTGAATGTCTCAAACTCGACACGATTACGCTTCACTGATCACAGATTCTCGCTAGAACAGAACTCAGAGAATTTCCCTTTCCAAGTTAGTCACTAATGATCACATGATCATTTGCAGTTTGTGGTAGTGCAGATTGTTCAATTGTATTGAATTCATGAAGTGATCAATGTGTGTGCATCATTAAGAAACTGAAAGAAGTGGACTGTCGATTGGTTCTAATATGCGACTGTTGAGCGGTGTATATCGACGGTCACACACATACGATTCAAACCGAACACCGTAGAGCTGACACGCGAACACTTAACCTGTAGAACATTGAAACATCTTCTAACAGTATCAATGTCTAACCTCAACCAATCCACCATGTATCACGATCAACTTCCGTTGTGTTCAGTGGGTGAGTGCCTCATATCCGACATGGTTCAGCTCTACTGGTCACGGCTTCTCACTATCCAAAGTGATGACGTTTCAAATTGTTGTTTTCTTTATTGTCATTGTCCCCCCTCCTTACCCTCCATTTCTAGTCTAGTCGATCTTTTACTTTTTATGTATAAATGTTCTTAACAAGGATGTTATATGTGATCAGATTGTTTGAAATGTATTGCGCTAATATATCACGTAGTTCTGGTAATCTTCATCTTTATATTGCACTAATGAAATTTATTAAAGAGATTAATTGCTTGATAAACAGTATAACATTCATCAGCGATTCATTTTCAGAAAAAAAGGAATGATAATTTTATCACATTATTATTATTATTATTATCAGAATGAGGATTTGTGGAGAATGTAGTAATTTTAATAGTTGAGTTCATAAGTCCATCTAAGCTAGACTTATAGGTCCTGAGTTCGAATTTCGCGAGGAAGAACTGTGGATGTGCACTGCTGAGGAGTCCCATGTTAGAACGAAACAGTCGTCCAGTACTTTCAGATTCTTAATGGCGGTCTAGCTTATATCGACTCATGAACTCAGTTATTAAAACATTGATATTACTCAAAAAAAAAGCAAATTAATCTTAATTCAACCGACTTTTGAGATGATATTGAATATTCAATAAAGATCTTTCATTTTTATGTTATGTTGTTAAGTAAATGATATTTTCTAATTCTGATTAGTTTCAAGTTTGATTACGAAATGTAAACATAAATGTTGTAAGTTATATTATAGGGATTTCTTTAAGTTATGTAAGATATATTTTCTATATTCATAGCAATTAACAGTTGTTCATTTTTGTATTCATTTGAATCATCCTATTGATGTTTAGGAATACAATTGATCAGTCCTTTATTAGCATAGGTGCATCCTGTGTGAATTGTGTGGATTCATAAGCATTATAAGCAAAGATGGATAGTGGCTAATAGGGAAATCCAGGATATGCACCACTTCGTCCTATTTGGGACTCGTCAGCTGAATATGAACATGAACTCTGGGAAACAGGTACATTTAACTGACTAGTTTCAAATAGGATGAAACATGAGTTTTGGATTCTACTGCTAGCCATCATTCATATCTGCTCAGAATTAACAGATGTATTTCGTGGTGATTTTAAGTTGGTCACCATAACATTAGACATAAAGGTGTTTAAAAACAATTTTCAATGTCCGAATAGAGTTCATGAGTCAATTAAAGCTAGATTACCATGGAAAACCTGGAAGGACTGAACTGCCGTTTCATCCTAGTATGGGACTCCTCAGCACTGCACGTCTATTATCTCTCAAGCGGTGACAGAACTCAGGACCTTCAACCTCGTGTGCGAATTCTTAACTTCTAAATCACTGATCCGGAATCTAACGGTGTTCATGTCTAACTTCAACAAATCCATATCGTTTTATTATTATTGGATGCCATCTGTGTATTAGGATTTCATTGTCTTTTTTTCTTTAGCTCAACTACAATACTAACTATGAAATCAAAATCTGAGCATCTCTTTAAAATTTAAACTTATCTTAATTTCAACAGTTGAGATCATGAGTCGATTGAAGCTAGACCACCATGGAAAAACTGGAACCACTGGTCGACCTATTGTGGGACTCCTCAGCAGTGCGCATCCGCTGTTGAAATTTACAATGATAATCATCTATCGAATATCTCAGATAATCACTTTCACAATATTTCACATAATACAGATATTTATTTATTTATTTGAACACATGAATATTGGTACAAAGAGGCACTGAATACATATGCTTTACACAAGTCACTTGATTTGTGTTTGGGCTATGATACTACCGGGGTGCCTAGACCTAAGCAGATGGTTCCCATAGGGGGCCACACCCAAAGCATTCAACTTAAAGGTTTTATCCACAAAGCAGTGGATCCGATGGTAGACGGTTACCAATACCGATTTATACAAATATATTTTCAAATTTAATTAATACTATGTATTACATTTGCTTTGCATATACTGTAGTGATAGAAGATTAGATCAGGTATTAAATTATACAAAGTTGCATAGTGTCTTTGTGAAATATGAATCCCGCGAGCGGGATTGTGGATGCACACTGCTGAGGAGTCCCACAATAGGACGAAACGGCCGTCCAGTGTTCCCAGGTTTTCAATGGTGGTCTAACATCAATCAATTCATGATCTCAATAAAAAAACTTAACAATCTCCACAACTCCTAGACTGATAAATATGATAACGATGCACTAAGTACTAAGTACACTTTCTTGAATTATCTCTTCTAAACTTCATCATCCTTTCATTTCTGTTGTTATTGTGATTACTTTCAGTTTTTCTTTCTTTTTTTATTGATTTTCTTGTTCTGTCACTAAGAATTATATTTCTCATGTCTAGTACATACTACTTATATTTGACGACATCAGTAGTACATACCACAGTACACTATGAATATGAATAATTTTAATATGAATATATTTTACCATTTTTCTTACAATTCGACAAATCATCTTTGTATTCATTCAGTTAGATGATAAGTCAATTATCTATAATCATTAGTTATATATAATATTGGTTTATTGATTATATTTTCTAACCATAAATCGATAATGTATGTTTTTATTTTCTTACTTGGATACTCTTCGAAATATTGATTATAGAAAGGGAAAACAACACACACACAACTACAAACAATATTACAATGATAATAGTAACAACAGCTTACTTATTCGTTCATTATTCTGTAATATTCGTTGAGTTCTACGTCGTACAATACAAATAATAAATAGAATAATTAAAATTAATATTGAAAAGAATATAGATAATCCAATGATTAATATTTCACCAAGTGAATATCTTCCAAGATAAGTAGTTGAAGTACCAGAACCATATGATGATGATGATGACGATGATGATGATAGAGATCCATGACTTGATTGAGACATAAAAATATCATCGATTTGTTGATTAATAGATAAATCAGTTTGTCTGTATTCATTTGATTTCCCTTCGTCAATAATATTCGATGAACTGCGAATCTATGTGTAGACAGAGAGATAATTAAAAAAAAAATTAAAGAATCTAAATACCAGTGATTGAGTTCATGAGTCAATTGAAGCTAGGACATCAGAGAAAACCTGGACAGCTGTTTAGTCCTATTGTGAGACTCCTCAGCAGTGCATATGCACAATCCTGCTTCACGAGATTCGAACCCTTAACGCTAGACCACTAAGCCGGCCAGCATCTAACGGTGTTAATGTTTAACTTTAATCAATCTAAATATGCTTAAAAAGTTATTAACAGGAAAGCTCTATAAGATTAAGGTGGAACTGGAATAACATTTTATTTTGATTTATGACAAATCATTTATCTTCACCCATAATTCTATATGTAATCTAGCCTAAGGTCAAATGATAAGTGAAATGCCACTGATTCAAAATTGAATGGTTTATACCCTTATCTCTGGTGAATGAAAGATTTCAATAAATTAGTTTCTGATCCTTAGTAGTCATGAAGGTACGTATATTATTTCTGTTGTAATATATTATGCTGTATGCTATTGATATCAACAGATATAAGTAGTATGTGTCACTCATCAAAAATGAAATACCTGTTGACAGAAGGTTAAAAAGATCGAAAGAGAGAGAACGAGAACACAGTATGATTGGTGTAGAAAGAAACGAAGGAACAATGAAGTCTGAGATGAGTGATTGACAATTTACAAATGAAGTATTTACTGTATAGTTCTCAGAATTTAGTAAGAGATTCTGTAATTGTGTGTACAAATACATTCCATTGTCTTCATTTATGTTCTCGTTCACTACAATATCTGTTCATTATAGATGCTTAATTGTATAACATGATAAATATGTATACATGCAGTAAGTCATTGTATAATTATTGTTAATGATAACTAACAATAAAGTTTGTAATTTTAATAGTTGGGATCATGAGTCAATTGAAGCTAGACCACCATCGAAAACAGGGAAGCACTGGATGACTGTTTCGTCTTACTATGAAATGAAACGGCCATCCACTGCTCCCAGGTTTTCCCTGATGGTCTAGCTTCAATTGACTTATCATCTCAACTATTAAAATTACTATAATATCCACAAAACCCCTTCTGATATTGATAAATTTTGTCTTAAAAGTGGTGTATTCATAAATAATTTTGATTTATTTCCATGATCAAATAAATCCATATCAACAGTCTATGTGTTTTTACTGTATGTCGTCGGGTTCAAGATTTCAGTACGAAGCATAAATATCAGTTAAGCTACTCCTTAGACACTATAAATGATAAGGATGACAAGTATACGTCGAATATTTGTTCAGAAGAAATCTGTTGTAATATTGAATAATTAGTACCAAGAATTGTTTATTGATACCATATTTATATCAGTGAACAAAGCAAGTCAGAATCTTCAATACGAACGTCAAGGTAGTTCTACTGTACGGAGCTTAAACATGGAGAAGTACAAAAACCATCATCAAGAAGGTACAAGTAGTTGTCTACGCATGATATTCAACAGCCATTGGCTGGATACCATCAGTAACAGCCTTCTGTGAGAGAGAACAAACCAGCTTCCAGCTGAACAAGAAATTAAGTAAAGACGATGGAAATGGATAGGACATACATTACGCAAATCATCAAACTGCATCACGAGACAAGCCCTGGCATGGAATCCTGAAGGAAAGTGGAAAAATGGAAAGCCAAAGAACACATTACGTCGGGAAATAGAAGCATGTATGAAAAGGATGAATAACAAGTGGAAAGAGTTGGAATGGATTGCCCAGGACAGGGTTGGATGGGGAATGCTGGTGAGCGGCCTATGCTCCTTCACGAGGAGTAACAGGCGTAAGTAAGTAAGTAAGAAAAAAGCAATTATTTGAATTGTTACATCAAGGAATTACTTTGGTTAAATAACTACTGAAAGGAATTTAGTGCTGTTTCATTTTAGTGTGGAACTTGTTCACAACGAGTATCCATGAATCGATCAAAGTTAAAAATGTAATACATAGGATATAAACTCAATGTCTTGACGTTTACGCTGTCACTGAACTGTCTGAAGGTCATAGAATTGATCCATGATAAACTTGTGGATGCTCACTCAGGACTTGTTCCATAACAAAGCAACTGTTATCATTGTTATTACTAGTAGTAGTAGTGTTGGTAGTAGTAGTAGTGTTGGTAGTAGTAGTAGTAGTAGTAGTAGTAGTAGTAGTAGTAGTAGTAATAGTAGTAGTAGTAGTAGTATTAGTAAGTTACCTGTATCTGAAGATTTGGAAAATGTGTACATCGTCTTGGTTCTCCATGATCACATGCATCTAATCCTAATAAAAATGTTGGATAATTCAAATCATTTCCTTGATTATTTATTGTAGTTTTTTGTTTATTATTTGTTATATATTGTCTTGGTATTTGACTTTCTAGGTATAATAATCCAGTTCTTGGATCAACATTGAATAATATTCCAGCTGTTTCACCTTTTATTGCATATGATACTTGTCCATTTAAACCTTCGTCTGGATCTATTGCTAATAACTAGATGAAAATAAAATAAACAATTCATCAATATAATAACACACTTAAAATACAAAAACAAAACAGTCCAAGATTGAACATCAATTCCAAGATGCAAATACATCAAACTGACGAGTTCAGAATAGGACGAAATACGTGTCCTGGATCCTATTGCTAACCACCGTCCATCTTTGCAAAGTAAACAAGTTAACTAGATTAGTTGATATATTGAAATTATCTAACATTATTATGGATGTCTATATTATGACAAGAAAAGAAGTTTACTGATAGATTCAACAACGTTGAAAGCAATTATGAACGAAGGTAAAATCACATTTGGCTAATAGTACAATTGAAATTGATAGGTTTTGTTGTCTTTATCTTCGAAATTCAGCACTTAGTGTATCATAAGAATTCAATATTATCCATAATCTACAAGTATCATGATTAATATAGTAATCTAAATAGCTTTGATGTCATTTCATGTGAAATTTTGTTTATACTAAGTTCTAAATTAAAGAGAAATCCCATACAACTCTTTTTAGTTTACAATGGTTCTTCGACTAATATCAATTTTCACTGAGATCATGAACTGATTGATGTTAGACCACCATTGAAAACCAGGAAGCACTGGACGGCCGTTTCTTCCAATTGTAGGGGTCCTCAGCAGTACGCATCCACGAACCCGCTCGCGGGATTCCAACTCAGGGCCTTCAGTCTCGTAAGCGAACGCTTAACCTACTGGATCACTAAGCCGGCATCCAATGCTGAGGAGTATTACTGAAAAGTCTCATACCAGGACGAAATGGCCATCCAGTGCTTACAGGTTTTCAATGGTGGCCTAACATCAATCGGTTCATGATCTCAATCAAAAACTTAATAATCTACACAACTCCTATACTGATAATATCAATTTGTATAAGAAAATAGTGAAACTATAATTTATGAATGACCTTCAAGCGACGAAATATTAACCTTGAGAGTGTCCATTTAACAACTTCGACCAAATGAGGGTTATAAACCAGTATGAGGAATTCAAATCATGATTTACAATTGATGGTTAAGGGTTAAGAATTTGATTTAAAGTTTTCATCATGAATTGATATTTGCTATGATGAATGAATTTCGCGCCAAATTCCAAGATCTTATATCTGATTGGTTTGTCCATAAATTATAGTCTCACTTTCGTCATTTCTTCTCCTTCTTCTTCTTCTCCTTCTTCTTCTTATTCTTCTTCTTATGTCATAATCGGTTAAATACTTTTATGCATGATAGAATCTGCTATTTAAGTTTCATTATTCCCATGAGTTAGAATACCATTAACCGAAAAGTAAACATTTAATGGAAAACAAATAGTTTCTTTAATTATTTATGAATATACTTCAAATAATTGTCATTTCATTTTATGCTCATTTATTCAATTCTTAATTTACATATTGAATAGAGTATATAGAAAACAATGAAATTAGCTTATTATAATGAAGATTAATGTTTAATGATTGAATTCATGAGTCGATAGATGACGGAATTATTAGTCTAAAGGTTAAACGTTCGCATGCGGACCGATAGGTCTTAGTTTTGAATCTCGCGGGGGGGGGGAGCGGGATTGTGAATGTGCACTACTGAAGAGTCTCATATTAGGACGAAATGGCCGTTCAGTGCTTCAAGGTTTTCCATGGTGGTCTAACTTCAATAGACTCATGGATTCAGTTATTAAATTACTGCAATCTTCACAAAACTCCTCTCTAATAATAATGTTTATTTAATCAAATATTGAATAGCAAACCATATTCAGTAACGATTGGTTAGTATGAAATCTAGTGATGTAATGAATAATGGACATCCATATACATTCTTATGTACATAGATGTAAACAACTCTAACATGAATATCAGAGAAACATGTTTAAATAGACCTTGTTACAATTAGGTGTACATTATTATTATTAGTATCCTGTCGTTTCAGTAGAGCTTCATAACGGTTCCATGATTGTAATATTTCATCTAGGTATTCAACTATCCACCTACTGAATTCATGTTAATTAAGATAGATAATATATATATTACCGTCTGATTAGGTGTTTGTTGTATATTGCTCAAAGATCCCGACAAAGGTGAGATAAGAAACAATCCCAGTATTGTACAATAAAACACCTACAAGATTAATAATTGTGTATATAAACTAATCGACCTGTTTACTAAGAAAAATTAATTACTAAACAACTTATTTACTCTAAAGAAATAGATCTTAATAATCCAGTGAACAAAGGTTAGAGTAGACATTCTTATCTGACATTAATCTTTATGATTGAAATCATGAACCGATTGATGTTAGACCACCATTGAAAACCTGGAAGCACTGGACGGCCATTTCGTCCAACGGTGGAACTCCTCAGCAGTGCACATTCACGATACCGTTCGTGGGATCCCAACCTGGGGACCTCAGTCTCGCGCGCGAACGCTTAACCTAATGGACCACTGAGCCGGCCGGTATCCAGAGGTGTTAATGTCTAACCTCAACCAATCCACAAAGTTGCGCGACCATCTACCAATGTACTGAGGTAAACACCTGTTTCTACCCGACACGGATTAGCTCCACTGGTCACGGCTTCTCACCAGAACTCTGAGAATTTTCTCACGAAGCTAGTCATTAGTGAGTACATGGTAGTTATCAGTATAGTGGTTGTGGAGGTGGTTAAGTTTTTGATTGAGATCATTAACCGAGACTGAGGGCCCTGGGTTCGAATCTCGCAAGGGGGATAGTGGATGCGCACCGCTGAGGGGTCCCACAATAGGACGAAACGGCCATCCAGTGGTTCCTGGTTTTCAGTGGTGGTCTAACATCAATCGGTTCATGATTTCAATCAAAAGCTTGATAATCTCCACAACCGCTAAACTGATAATCAATCTTTATTTTCAATGCATCCATGAGTATTCCCTATGGATAACTTAGCAATTTAATCAGTCATAGGAACCCCGTAAAACAGTGATGATATTACCAGATACTATATAGTACCAAAGAAGACTTCACTAGGTGTTTCTATCCATGCTATTGAATGATTTATCATAATCAAAGAAGTTGACGTGTTGTAATGAGTTCTATTGAATCGAGTGTTTAACATTGACCAGAGGTGTTGTGATTTGGTTTTCTAATTTGTCTAGTCTAGGTTGATAGCTATCGCACTTTTGATTAATCTTTATTGATGAGAACTTTACTGATATCATGATAATAAGTAACGTATATGGATTTTTAAGGATTAATGAGATTATGTTTTAGCTGCAAACAGCTAGTAAAACATTGAGAAATAAAACGACTTTATTATATGCAAAGATGGATGGTGGCTAGCAGAGTAATCCAGGACGCTTGTCACCTCGTCCTAATCGGGACCCATCAGATGAATGTAACTGCATCACAGTGTTGATGTTCACTCTGAAACTCAAATGTAGTACCGTTCGCTACAAATGCTATCATGTTATCCACTTAGTATATAATGCTGCTTATAATGCTTAAGATTTGAGGCAATATCAAGGCAATTCGCATAAGATGCACATATTCCAATAAGCGACTGATCAATTGTAGTCCTTAACATCAATACGAAGATTTAAACAACCAATACAAAATGAATTTAAAAGACTTCATGTTATTTCACATCGTTCGTTTTTACTTTAGTCAAACTTATGTATGGAAAAGTTTGGTTAATTTATATTATTCTTTGTTTTTACTCATTTGTTTTAACTTACTCAGTTAATCATGACTTTTAATGGCCTTTGGAAATTAAGTAGTTAGAGTCAATCTAAGGAAAATAATTGACCCAGGTTTCATGGTTCTTGAGACTCATCGGTCAGGTCAGTAACAACGTAGAACTTCGTACGTACGTACATCAGTTCGAGTTGCCACACCACCTTAGCACAGAGTTGCAGTTGTCGATTCAAATCCCGTAGTGACAGAGGTGGTGAGAGTATAAGCAGTAATAGGAAAGATTAGGGTTTGAAGATGATATTCACTGAGTATAATCCAGTGAAATAAATTTGGAAAGAGGAAAAAAGAGACAAGGAGGATTCAGGAAATTAGGATTTGGAGAACACAAAGAGTGTATGCACCTGCGCCATTGCAAACGATTTTGAGCCATGTCATTCAGGGTCTCTAACCATCGGTTGCTATCATCTCGCGGTAGAATATGTTTGGAATCGTAAGGACATTTGTAGTCCTATCGAGTTTAAAACTCATATCACTGAGTATCATAGTCAGAGATATCACTAGTGAGCTGTTGTAAATGCAATTAACCTCATATATTACACAGGTATGTTTAATTAATTCACAATTCTTCAAGTTCCCGAAAACTATCACTATATGGTTGTGAAGATTATTACGTTTTTGACTGAGATCATGAACTGATTGATGTTAGACCACCATTGAAAACCTAGAAGCACTGAACGGCCGTTTCGTCTCATTGTGGGACACCTCAGCAATGCGCATCCACAATACCACTCGTTGGATTCGAACCCAGAGCCATCAACATCAATCAATTCATGATCTCAATCAAAATTCCCAAAAACTGTTTTCAACGTGTAGTTTCACCTCTGAATTTTTTATTTTTGGTATCTTTCTAGATTATCCAAGGTTCTTAAAGTTTTTAGCTGTTGATGAACCAGCAAATGAAATTTTTTGACTATATAAGATTTTGTTGGTCACTCAGCTGGAGGTTTCTACCACGGACTAATCTTAGAAAACCACTGAGAAATGAGAAGCAATGGATATCTGTTTCCTCATAGTATAAGGTTCTTCAGCAGTGTGTATACTTAATCCTACAAGGGATCGGAGCTCGAGATTTCATACTCTGTGTCAGGTGTCTAATTATGAAACTGTTGAGTTGGTACCTAATGGTTTGCATATCGCATTCCAGCTAATTCACCATCTTCATGAAAAATCTTATATGGGACAAAACGCAGGTTTCTCACTTTACAATTAGTTACCACTTCAAATATAACCAATTTGAAAATGCAGATAATAACGTGGAATTCATTCAAGAATCCTATATATCCCAATGAAAGTTGGTCAAATGTAACAATACTGAAATATAAACCATTATAAAAATTAGTTAGTGTTTGATAATCGTTTTACTGTGTCAATAATACTCATTGCTTGCCCCCAATTGCCCTGGTACGGCCGAAAGTGGGGAGAGTCCGCTCTCCCTCTCGAAATGCTCTCACATGGCCACGCGTATATAGCCTCTGCCAGGGAAGTCCTAATCACTGCCTTCTCGTGGCATCACTGTTGTTTACGAAAATGAGAGGACAAAAAGCGAATGTCCAGCGCTTTAATCGGATTCCAAACGAATGGTGCGCATGGACTCCAGTATCCTGAGAGAACAAATAGCGTGTGAACCAATTGTTGGTCACAGGCTTCCATAGGACTGCATCTCCTTACGATGTTCCACTGCTTTATGGATCAGACCTTCAGGTCAAAGGCTCGGGGTGTGGCCCCCTACGAAAACCACTTGCTTTGATTTGGGCACCCGGGTAGTATCACACCCCTCACACATATCAAATGAGATTTGTGTGGCGTATATGTATTCAGTACCTCTTTGTACCAATATCTATGTGTTGACATAAATAAACTCATTGCTTACTTGTGATAATGATTGTCCAGGTATAGCTGTTGGATTTAATAATATCATATGATTTGTTGAATTTGGTCGAATAAATACTGGATCATTATCATTTTCATCTTGTATAGTAATTGTAATCATGATAGAAGCTGTATGTGAACGATAATTATTAATAGTACGTTGAATTTCAGTTTTATTAACAGTAGTATTTGTTATTTGAATAGGTTTATCAGGACCATCATGTACATATGCATAGAATGTATATGTTCCTTGAATTTCACGATCTAGTATTGTTCTTAAGAGTATAAGAAAAGAACAAAGGAAATACACGAGTAAAAATCGACTAACCAGCATAAAATGGAAAGATTGTTTCGTTTTTTTATTATGAAATGGAGTTATTCATCGAACTAATAAAATTAAAAACATTCAATTATACTACCGGATACTCGTAAGCTACTAATATTTGACCACAAATGTCTTAGAAATATTGCTCACATCTACTGGGATCATTGAGTAAGTAATAGTGAGGTTAGATGTAGGGTATTAGGAAATGATGGTAAATCAGTTGATGAGGTTGTGAATCTTCATCGAATGAAATGGTTGGACCATGTGTTACGTATGCCCAACCACCGATTAACACAATGTGCAATACTGACTAGTGTTGGAAGCAGCTGAAGGAAAGTTACTGGTGGCCAAAACAAAATATGGCATTAATCGTTGAAGCCAGTATATTCTGGTATTAGCCATGTTAGTAGATGGAGACTACTTGGTTGGAGTCCGCTTGACTATCATAACTAGTGGTTGGTGACTCAGGGTGACATGGTTCAGAATCGGTCACAATGGTGTAGGTGTATACACTCATTGTCTTTCATTAAACCGTGAAATTAGAATTACTTTTTACCTTTCTTACAACCAATTAATTCTTTCTCCCTGTATCATATCCTTATGTGCAATCTTTCTTTTGTATATTACTATCATTGAAGTAACTACTTCTATGAATTTGGTGTCCATCTTGTTGTGTTAGTGAGGTATGGCAACTTGGACCGATGTACATACGTGCCTGGTCCTACTTGGTAGATTAATGACTGAATGACTATCCTAATATATATTGAAAATTCTCGTTTAGATATTTGATAAAAACAAATATCGAAAAAAAATGTTAGACTACCATCGAAAACCTAGAAGCAGTTGAAGACTGTTTCATCCTAGTATAGAACACCTCAAAAAAAGTGCCCACTCACGATTCCTTACAAAAAAAGTATTGAATCCAGCACCTTCAGTATCACGTGCCAACACTTAAATTGCAAGTTGCTAAGCCGGTATCTAGATGTTATGTGTTCGTGCGCATGCAAGATTTTGAATAAGATGGCTATATTATATTGAAGTCTGTTAAGTCATTTATTATTGAGCCTTACTAAACATTATTTCCTAGTTTCATAACAAATAAACCAAACCCTAACCACAATTACCGTGGTGAAAATATATTAAAGACCATAAAATTATGAAATCTAGTTAGCAAGACTATAACTGATGGATGAACCAATCAGATTTAGGATAAAAGATCTTGGATTTTGGCCCTAACCATCAATTGTAAATCTTAATTCTAATTCCTCACACTTGTTTATAACCCTCATTTAGTCCTAGTAAGTGATTGGACATTATCAAGGTCACTTTAGTGTCACTCAAATGTTGTGCATCAATTATAATCTCACGGAAATAACTGTTATTAGTTTATCCATGTTTTTTCCCCATTCTTGATATTATCATTTGTAACTGAAGTAATCAAATTGTTATATCCTGATAAGCATAATGAATGGTAACTTTGGGGATCCATTTATGGATCAATACTATGCGTATATTTGTATCGTATAATTGTCAAATAACTAAACTATACATATTCATGTCCCTCTTATTATGAACTTAATTTTGACCTGTGAACTATTATTATACGACTTACCATTCTTGAGTTATGCTCTGTCTATTAATCACTACCTCCCATATTCACAGCCACATTTGGCTAAATCTTGTATAAATGTTGTTTCCTATTTTACGGTACGATGTGGTCTGTCTGGTTGGTATATAAACCGAGTATGTTTGAAATAAATGGCTCATTTTGCAGAGGCTGCGATTAGTGTTCTGGACTTAACTAACTAGGTGGGAAGCAGGACCGATAAGGACTGTAGACTGCTCGTACGTGTTTTATGCGTCATTGGTCCGATCAATAAGTCACTGTTCTTTCATTACGTTATACATTAACAGGACACACAGTTCACAAGTTATAACATAAATCATTCAAGAAATGACAATAATGTTCTGTGATAGAAAGATTCAATTGTGTATTCATCGCTATATTTGACTATCTTTTGTGAAGTCATTCAATGCAAACTATTAAGATAATAGAACAGTTTAGCATGAAATGTCTTCTTATATACTACAGTCTAATATTGTATTATTTTACTATGTATAGCAATCTGTTTATCGAATAGATTGCATGTATGATGGTTATCAGTTGGAGAGATAGATGATTCTGTTGTGATGACATGAAATAGAATTAAATAATCAATAGCTAGTCATTATCACGTTTGAATCTGAAGTCTTTAAAATCAATAAAGTTTGCTTATCAGTAAGTTATAGAAATAAGAATTAGTTAATGAAATTGTTCAGAACAACAGTATAAGGTTCATATTAATCATGAAGTTTACTATTCAGCTTAGACAATGTGAGATCACTCACTTGAGTTCAATATTTCTTTATCATTAAATATATATATGCAAATGCTTGTATCAAACAGATTAATTAATATACATTCATTGATCATTGAGTAGTGATTAATATAATCTATTTCTAGTATTTAACCCTCAAATGCCCTGGTACGGCCGAAAGTGAAAAGAGTCAGTTCTCCATCTCAAAATGATCTCATATGGCTACGCGTATACAGACCCTATCAGGGACGTCCTACTCACTGCCTTCTCGTGACAGGAGTGTTGTTTGCGAAATTGAAAGGACCATACGCGAATGTCTGGCACAATGACCAGATTGGTGGATATGAAGGATCCACCTAGGTGAGTGTTATGACTTGAAGTTGAGGGTTCAAAACTTTTCTCCACCCCATCGCCACTTGTTATGACGGGTTGACTGCAGATTAGAGTGAAGCGTTTTATCGATCGTTTCAGTGATACCGAAAACACGCAAGGACGACCTAGAGTCCTGATTAGTCCTGCTTCCCTGTCTAGCCCAGCCAGTTGAGTCCAGAACACAAGTCACAACCTCTGAGATATGAATCGTTATATTTCAAACACACTCTGCTTATATACCAATCAAGCATACCACATCGTACCATAAAATAGAAAACAACATTTCGCACAATATTTAACAAGTGAACAAATATCGACCAATAGGAAATGTCTATTTAATGTCCAAGGACACTATTGGACTTAATATGATAATTATTGGTATATTCCTCTGCATCCCTAACAGTGAGTTTGAAAACCCTGATTACAAACCAATACTGCACATGGGCTACAGGATTTTGAGGGAACGAATGGTGTATGAACCAATTGTTGGTCACCAGCTACCATGGGACTGCATCTCCTTACGTTGCTCTACTGCCTTGTGGATCAGACCTTTAGGTCGAAGACTCCGGGTGTGGCCCCCTACGAAAAGCGCCTGCTTTGGTTTCGGCACCCAGGCAGTATCATAGCCCACACACAAATCAAGTGACTTGTGTGATGCATATGTATTCGGTGCCCCTTTGTACCAATATTTATATATACCAATATTTAAATAAATAAACTTAGTGACAATCGACTTGGAACAGGATTTCAATCAATAAACTAACTGGTCCCACTTTTTAAGCTTGATGTTTTCAAGTAAATAAAGACGATCGATAGGAACCTCCATACATACATTTTATCCTTGTTGACATTCACTAGCTAGTAATACATGTAATCCTAGAGTAAATGATATTTCCCGTACAATTCGAAACCACTTTAATCACCTTTGACCGATCGAGGTGATGTATCCAAACGTAGCAAAATATGGGCGCAATTCACTCATAATTAAATGTGTAAAGATGTTTTCATAAACAATAAGGTATTTCTCCTTAATTGAGTCTTCAGATATCGGTCTTCTTATGATCTTAGATCAGGGTGGATTGGTTGATAAGCTTTCAGTTTTCATCTTACCAACATCATTTGAAGTGTTTGAAGTATATTCTGATGATGTTGTTCAGAAACCAATAAAATCTTCTTAACCAATCCATCCAGTTCAGAGATTACAGTATTTCCAATATCATCATCCTGATCTATAACTATTCTTCATCAGTTTTAACATAGTTCCTATTATGGACTAATTTCATTCGTAAAATAATTGAAAACTATAGAGTACTAAAAAGTCACAAGCATGATAAGCAAAGATAGATAGTGGCTGTCAGTGGAATTCAGGATTCGTGTTTCGTTCTATTTAGGACTCGTAAATTGAATGTACCTGCATCTCAAAGTTGATATCCACTCTGGGACTCGAATCCAGTATCATTCTCTTCAAACACCATCACGTTATCCACTTAGCGATGCAATTGTACTGGATTCGAGTCTCGAAGTGAACATCAACTCTGTGATGCATGTATATCCAGCTGACGAGTCCTAAACAGAACAAAACATGTGTCCTCGATTCCACTGCTATCCACTATCCATCTTTGCTTATCATGCTTGCGAATTAAGGCAATATCAAGGTAACCCACACAGTATGCATATGTGTCAATAAGAGAGACTGATCAGTTGTAGACCTGAACAACAATGGGAAGATACAGGTAAACAACAATACCCAGTGAATTTATTTAAGGGCTGTTTTCATGATGTTTGATTTGATTTCAATAAATAATTTGGCAAAACCATAATTTATGGATGAATCAATCAGATATAAGACAACAGATCATGGATGTAGGCGCGAACTTCATTCATTCATTTGGAAAAATACAGTTTTGTTATTATAGCTAATGTCAGCTCGTGATAAAAACCCCCAAATCTAATTCCTAACCTTAACCATCAACAGTAAATCATAATTCGAAATTCCTCACACAGATTTATAACCCTCATTTTGTCCTATTTATTAGGTGGACACTGTCACAATCAGTCTAGCGTCGTTCGAAGGTTGTCCATAATAATTCCGTTCAACATAATGTGAATGGTTTCTTTTATGTTAACCATGTAAATTATTTAACATACATAATTAAAATTTAGAACATTTACAGAACATAAAAAAATAGATCGCTAATTATAATTTAAAGCCAAAATTACA